TACATTATTACAATGCGATACAATTTTAGAGAGATGTTGTGCGCGCGCCCGCCCGCAAAGGTTTCTTAAATGATTACAACCATTTTAAAATACTCCGTTTTTAGCCAGGGGTCCTATGTTCGTTTTTTCTATATAAGCTATACAACTATAATTTTAAGCTATACAACTATAATTTCAAACAGAGCTAAAGCATGAATGGATAGCTTTTTAATCAAATACAAATAGTGATATTAAATTGAGTGTGTGACATATTAAGTAGGTTTCTGAAGTAATACAACAATTCTACAATATTCCATTTGTGGAGGGGGGTCCTAAATTCGTTTTCCACACTTCTGTTATCTATATAATTATAGTATGCATTTCTATACCATTCATTCGATTGTAATCAAACTGGGTCAAGTGAAATGCGCACTACCGAAAATGTTTCTAAATTAGAAAAAAACATTTTACAATATTCCGTTTGGGCCATTGACCCTAATTTCATATTTTCTTCTAAGAGCTTTGTAACTATAATTTCAAACAAAGCTATTGCATGTGTGGAAGTAGCTGAATCCGCCGGCAAATTTTTCAAATTTAGTACATCCATTGTACAATATTCCAATTAGGGCTGGGGACCCTAAATTCAATTTATTTTCTTAAAATGAGCTTCATCAATATAATTTATAACGGAGATATCAACACTACCGACCTTGAACAAATGACACATTTGTAGTAAAGCAGAGACAACACGTTTTTACATTTTTAGTGTAGAGAGTATTTTTGTTATGTGTATAAATAAGATTGAATTTTGTGACGCATTTTAGAATCGGAAATGACATCGAAATCGCGTTTTTTTTTTTTCAACTAAGAGTATTTCTTGAATAGAGTCTTATAATTTCGGAGTTGTTTTGTGTTATATAAATACATTTTACACCAATCGATGGTTTCTCAAGTAATTAAATAACACACTTGACAGCGTAGATATTGAATTATGGTCATTTTTGCCGCTGGAATTTACGATTTATAAATTAATGAGAAACTATACAAC